ACCCATGGTTACTCGTTTTCCAAAACGGATGTGACGTCACTCTCGAGCTGCAAGACAAAACGAACGCACCAACAAACCAATAGATGACGTCACAATAGATGCACACTTGGTTCTAACACATAGCATCTATCTAAAGGTTGCTAACATTAGCGTGTTACTTTTTCCAAAAATCACGCTCGAATTTATTTCAGATGACACGCAATTTAGTCGAATGCTATCGAATAAATGATCTATAAACACATAGTACAATGACAAAACATGGCGTAAAACACTATACTATTAGGATAAGACATTCGCTCTTACCACGCCAATGAGCGACATATCAGCATGTCCTTGCATATAAATCTTGCTCTCTAATCGGGGATGGCACTCAGATATTTTAGTGTCATAAATGTCTGCTCAGGACGGGTTTGCTCCATGCTTTGCTAGTGTCCTCTATTTCCTTAGTAAACAACATTATAAGTAAGTTAGTAGTGGAGCGCCCTCTGCTGGATCACGAGGATAACTAACGTTACTTCAAACGGTTGCGTTTATAGAATAGATTCAATTTTGAATTCGAACAGGTCATTACACTTCCAAAATTAGCCACATTTGAACGAATTTTCGAATTTCGAATAAAAAGTGACAGCCCTATTAGCCACCATAAGTCACTGCTAGACCAAGTAATACTCTAGCAGCAAAACCCTTGGGTGTATTTCATTGCTTATAAATTCAACTCATTATTTGAAAGAGGAAGAATGTGTCACACGGTGCATTTTTGCACGTTAAAGCTTAATTAATTAACTCATGTCACATTAACAATGGATTCATGTGTAATGTCCACCATAACAACTTTACACTCCGGATATTAAGTAAAATGATAGATTTATAGCTTGTTGTGCTGCCCCCAATTGGCCAAAATGTAAATTAATGCTGCTTTAATAAGGGGTCATGGGGTTCACTTGATAATAACCTACCAAGTCAACACTTTCAAATGTTATGCCATGCAACATTCTCCCGAAGGAAAATGGTCCAACATTCTATTGGAGGAGTCGCCCTGTTGAACTAAAGAGTTTAAGGGTTGGGGGAGGAAAAAACACTAAAAGGGACTTTTCACGACCAGGTAAATGTAAGTTGTTGTTATTAATTAAAAGTAAATTATTTAACTATGCATCAAGCCATTAATTTATAAACTCTATAAAAGATGCCTTATTAGAAAGTGGTACCACAAAACTTAACCAAAAAGACTCAAGTGATGGATCTAAAATCTAAAAGACAACACATACATAACATCACACCTAAAAACTACAATTAAACTACAATAAACAACAGATGAATCACACACACACACACACACGTCATGCAAAAAACATGTACACCATTGAGCCCGACAGCTCACCTGGTAGAACAACGCACCACGCACTAAAGCTGAGTCCTTACTGCAGCGGGGTACATCCTATCCCTCCTTTCTGTCACTCTTCAGCTGTTGAGCTATCAATAAAGGCAGAAAAACCCCAAAATAATCTTTGTAAAAAACATGTACGCTATCACCCAAAAAAAAATATCTAGTTCTAGCTAGAGTCGCTGGCTCTGGATGAATTAGGTAATAAATATGTGAGAAGAAAGCTCATCATCAAAGAGACAGAAGAGTAAGTCAGACTGAGAAGAAATGGAATACAGGCTGACAATACCATCCACCAATCAGCAGACTGCTCTACTTTGTAAATGTGAATGTGCGTCATCAGTAGTCTGTTCACATCCCATAGTTAACGGAGCTGAGTGCTGGTCTCTTCTTGCCTTTAATTTTCAGGGATCCATAACGAGCCTGGGGACAAAATAACGAAAAGAAGAAAGTTATAAATCACTGATACAGAAAGATTTCAAAAATAAATATACACTATATGTGCAAACTAGCTTTTTGTTAGCTAACAGATAAATACACGTTTATTTTACCTCGATAGAACATTGAGGAGATTTCCTCAATGACAGTAGTGACGAGATGTTAAACAATGCTAGCAAACAAAACAGCTACCAATAAAGTTAAAATTCAGAAGAATAAACCTGCTATAGAGTAAATTATATAACTGAAGATCCACCAAAAAATATTCCAAACCTGGAAATGTTTAGTACCCCAAAGTTTTGTTAGAAATCTAAAATGTGAGTCCCCAGCATATAGAAACTGCCGGATGCTAACTTGCATATGTTG